CACAGCATGTCACGTTCAGTGGCAGGGCAGATTGGGGTGGGCGTGGAGCGGCACGTGACCACGGCGCCCCCAAGCTGACCAGAACTGGGGGAGGGGGACACGGCCACCATCCTGACAGTGGTAGTTCTCGTACGGCGTCCATGTGTGTCAAACCACGCACTTCAAATGTGTGTTTATTTCATACCAAGTGTCTAAAAACAATTTTTTAATGTTTGTTTATTTTTGAGGGAGAGAGAGAGACGCAGAGTGGGCGGGAGAGGGACAGAGACGGAGGGAGGCGCAGAATCCGAAGCAGCTCCAGGCTCCAAGCTGTCAGCACAGAGCCGGACGCGGGGCTCGAACCCACGAACTGTGAGATCATGACCTGAGCCGAAGTCAGAACTTGACCGACTGAGCCCCCCAGGAGCCCCTGTAGAAAAATCTGACTAGTGCGCGCTGCTCCCGCAGCTTATAAGGATCCGTGTTTTCCCCTGCTTGTCTCCACCTTCTCATCTGCATGAACGTGTCACCTTTTTTTTTTGTTTCTCAGAGGGAAACATGCATCTTGGGCCCACGTAACAAGCATATAGAAACTTGGTCACAGACTCCCTCGGCACGAGCACTTACCGACACACTGTCCTGGCCACCGCCATCACCCACCGGCACCAGGCTCACCTCCTCTCCAGCAGATGTGCCACTGAGAGACAAGAAAAGTCAGATTGCTGCGTGAAGCCCTTGAGGCTGCCAGCCACGTAATGACACAGCCACCCCCACCCCCCTACTCGGTCAGTCTTTCTCAAAGCTACAGGCGGTTCCACACGCTGGGGCTTTTCAGTACGTACTCTTAAAATTCGACGTTTTTAAATTGTCATCAGCAGAGGGAAGAAAGCACCCAAAGTCAGACAATGCCGAGGAATTGGGAGTGGCTCAGCTCTCAGAAGGTGCAAAATAGTCCATTTGTGAATGCTTGTGAAGGGGGGTCAACGAATGGCAGTCCCTGTTGCTGACTGTGCCCGGTCTGGGGTTTGTAACACCAGGACCCATCTCCCCATCCAATCCACGATACACCTTAACAACCACGGATATTTGAGAATCGAGAAAATGGAATACTTTCGAAACGGAGGCAAAGCACGAGCGCTTTTTCCACGCGTCTGTGCAAACCCCCTCCCACCGTGCTGTGTACACAGCGCAACGAGCCCAGGCGACTATCACCTGTCCCCTTTCCCCCACGTCTTCCTACAGCCTCAACACCATTTTCACGCCAACATCTACGCCGCTGATAATACACACGAGACATTTCGAGGGCTCTGTGCTGAACCAAGTCTGCACACAGGCTCGGGTTTGCATGGAGGTGAAGGTGTAGGATCTGAAGTTACTTAGCAGGAGACCGTCTACACCGCCCCCCCCCCCCCCCCCCCCCCCCCCGTCAGCAGCCTTAGGACACACAGTCAATAGTAAAGCAGTAAAAAAAAAAAAAAAATGCGTTACCTCATTATCAAGTGTTAATCCTCTGCGCGTCCCTCCCCCACGAACCCCTGGATACCGGACAGACAGGGTCCGGGGACGGAGCTGAGGTCGGCCGGACGGCAACGGGGACGAGGAGGCCGAGAGGTCCGTGTGCCGCGCAGAAGCGGGTGCCCGGCACAGCCCTGGAAACACTGGCTCCCGTACGTCTGCTCCCCCAAGTAAGACTGCACAGGAGGCAGGGCTTGCAGGAGGGGACCTGCCCAAATCCTACGCCAGGTGGCGACACAGGACCACAGCGCTCGCCGGCCCGCCTCTGTCCGCAGACAAGCTTCACCCGGGATCTCGGAGCAGGGCCCTGCAAAGACACCCTCCCCGGACACCAGCCCCCGTGCTCCTGCGTGCCTGCGCCCCGGGCCGAGGGCGCTCAGGCCGGGGGGCACAGTGCAGGGGGAGCGGCCCCTGGCCGATACACGCCAGAGAACCCCCGCACCGGTGCATCAGTCACTACGTTCCCACCCAGGCTCTCGTTCAGTCAACAAGCCCACGGCGCCCTCGCCACCTGTGGGGCCGTCACGGGCGACCCCAGGTCGAGATTCCAAGCTCATCCATTTTCTTTCAGACACACAAACTACAGCTCAAGTCAATTCCCACTGGGCTCCACATGGTCGCATTTCCTCGGGGTGCGCCCCGGCCAGATCCGCCAGTGACAACACCTCAAACGTTCCTTTTAACCCCCCACACCCCTTCCCACAGAGCAGTTGGGTCTCCCCGGCCTCTTCGGGCTATGCGGCTCTACAGTGCCCTGGCACCTCCGTCATCGTGCATGTTAGAATGTTCTGGAACATCATCTACATATCAGAAAGGCCGTGGCATTCTGCAGACACTTAACAAGGAACGTTTCCATGAAACCTGCTCTTCGGTGAAAACAAGAACCCCTAGTGACAGCTGGGATCCATGTGACCCTTTCAACACGACACGTTTGGAATTTTTCCTGGAGAATATACTGGTAACAGTCTGAACAGGAGGGGCGCTCCTTTCCAACAGCTCACCCCTCACCCGGACCCCCTAGGCTCTGCGTTCATTTCCCACACCACACTCACCAGACAGATTCCGATCCCCAAGCAGGTCCTGGGACCCGCAGGCACACACTCGGGCTGGCAGCACAGACTTCAGAATCCCCCTCCCAGGCCAGATTCAGACCCTCAAGCAGCACTGGGGAAGCCCAAAGTCAGCATCACATGCCCAAGGCAGAGTACGGGACCCGTGCAACTGAACATGAACCCCTGTAGCAGTGTATGAGCTGCAGTCATGGACTCAGAAGTGCTAGGCCAGGTTTGTGACTCCTAGGAACTGGTGAGGACCCCTAGGGCAGGGTCTGGGTTGCAGACCCCCGGCAATGGGATGAGACTCCCAAACCTCTGCTTAGACTCCCAAGGCAGGATGTGGGACCCCTGGGATGGGCTTGGACCCCTCAGGCAGGATGTGGGACCCCCCAGGATGGGCTCAGACCCCCCAGGCAGGATGTGGGACCCCCAGGATGGGCTCGGACCCCCCAGGAAGGATGTGGGACCCCCAGGAAGGGTTTGGACCCCCCAGGTAGGATTTTGGACCCCCAGGATGGGCTTGGAACCCCCAGGCAGGATGTGGGACCCCCAGGATGGGCTCGGAACCCCCAGGTAGGATGCGGGACCCCCGGGTGGGTTTGGA